CTACTAATGGAAAGCCTGGTGGTTTGAATCCCCCTCCAGAGGGGCCTGGAGACCTCCTTCAGATGGGTCACACCATTGAAAACTCGGCCTGTGGTGTCTACTCTAACCGCCGTGGGGTCAGCGTGAACTGGAACAAGCTCGGTGGCTGAGTTTGGCTTTTGGTCATTCAAAACCCACCCAAACCTAACCCCACTGCCTTCGGGTGGACTCTGACTCAGAGACCCTGTGTAGGAGTTCTATGGGGGTAGACACCCTCATCTTTCTCCCACCTAGCAAGTGGCTGGTGGGTCTGAAGTGCTGACGTGGTGGTTAGTATGCCTGTGCTTACCCTGCGCCTCTATGGCTACTTAGGCTGCTGAGATGGGTTAAAATTCAAAGAAAACCAACCGTGTGCATCAGCACAGGGAGGCGGCAGCAGAGGTCCTTGGTGGACTGGGGCCTGGTGGAGGGCTGACTAGCGGGTCGGGCAAGGGTCAGATCCCTGCATGTCTTGGTGTCACCCCCTGGCTAACCCCAGTCTCAGTCCTTTCCCCATTCTTCCTACCGAGGGTGGGGGCTGGCCTCAGGAGAGGGGGACTGCAGGGACCTGTTGGCCAGGCCCTGGGGAAAGGTGTTGGGTGAATGTTCAGTGTCGCCACCACTCAGGGGCACTCTGAGGGGGCAGCCGTGTTGCGGGTGCGTGGGCAGCTGGAACTCTAAGATCCCAGGATTCTGCCACGGAGAAAGTGACGGCAGTGAAAGCCGGCTCGAGAGCCAGCTTGTTCAGAGTTTCGGAAGCCAGCGGTCCCATGTTGGACTTTGCCATCCGTTTCCAGCCCCGGGAGACAGCCTGTGGTGGCAGCTTCCTGAGAGAAGCCGGAGCCCATCATCCGCGCTTGCCACTGCCCCCAGCTGCCCTTGAGACGCCTCCCGGGGACCCCGGTGTGCTGCTCCCGCATGATGGAATGAAATACAGGCAAGCTCTGTGCCCCCGCCGCGACAGTTGCCTGCTGGACTGTCATGACTACTGGGCTTCCACTAGCTGATTCTCCCAGGCCTTTCTTCATGGCCTCAGCCCCAGAGCTCTGCTGAAACCTGTTTAGAGGCCGAGCAACACCCAAGGTCCTCTCGACAGACAGGCAGTGGGTACAGCAAGGGGGACGCTGGCCAGGAATTGAAGGGAAATCTACAGAGAAGGTGAGGCTGCTACCACTGCCCCTCCGCTGCCCGACAGCAGGCGGCACATTCGTCCAGTGCCTCCCGGCTGAGGGCTTCAGAGGCACACAGGCTAGGGGCACGCCCTTGACTTTCACTTCCCTTCTCCCTCCTATACCCACAGACCTAACAGACGTGCAGAGTGTGGAGAAGCTTTAGAAATAAACGGCACTCAAGTGATCGGAGCCTCGCTTCAGCCTGCGGTCTGTGTTCTCCGAGTGGCGCTTCAGATGCCGGTCACAGAGCAGATCTAATGAGCTCAATTACCCGATTTTGTAGGCGGGGAAGGAACTTAAGAGTGTGTTTCCTCCTAAGAGCAACAGCCGCCGGGCCCCGCTGTTGTGAGGAAATCAAGAGCCTCCAGGCGGCCCTTGTTGGAAATCACTGCTCCCCTCCTCACTGCAGCACGCTCCTTCTGTTAATCAACAGCCCGGGAAACTGCCGACCTTCCTTCCCGCGGCCGTAAGGACTCCTGGAGCGGCCTGCCTCGGCTCCCGTGGGCTCTTCTCATGGTGACACACAGGACTGGTGCCGCACTTGGATTTTACTGCTATCAGTCACTCAACTCACTGCCATCGAGTTCATGCCGACCCAACAGCAACCCTATTGACGGACAGGACAGACCTGCCACTGCGAGATTCTGGGACCGAAACCCTTAAGGGAGCCCCATCTTTCTCCCGAGGGGTGGCTGGTGGTTTCGAACTGCTGACCTTACAGGCTCACGAGGGCTCCAGAAAAGAGCTTTGTGGCAGTCATGTAATTTTTGGAAGGATTGAAATGGGACCTCAGTGTGAAAAAATAAAAAGGGCTTGCCACATGAAGAGTGGGGTATTTCCTGCAGAGGAAGCTCCTGGGAGCCCCGCATCCGATCGATCCCCAACCCTGAGCAGTTGAGGCTGAGGCCAGTGAGCCCCTGCCTCCTGCCACGGGCACCACTGGTGGAAGATGGAAACAGGCAGGGCTGCCGGCTCGGCCAGGTGCCAGACAGATCCATGTGTGCAGCACCTGCCCGAGACCAGCGGGCAGGGGGGGAGTGCCTGGGGGCCGTTGGCTTTCCTCCAGCCGAAATCTGTTTAACCTGTTCCTTTCCTCAGCCAGCTTCCAGCCCTCCTCACCCTCTCTCCTTCCAGATTAACCTCCTCACTCTCCACCGGCCGGCCGTAGCCTGGGCCGTTCTTCAAAGCCTCATCACTGGCACAGACACGGTGGTGTCGTGTCCATCCAAGCACATGGGTGTCCTGAGCTGCCGGCACTCACCACCCGGTGACGATAAACCCTCTTCGCCTCGTGTGCTGTGGCAGTGCATAGCAGTGCCACATCTGGGCAGATGGCGCAGGGCGGTTGCAGTGTTTGGGTCTGTGGTCCCAGGTTAATGGCCCCTAACGATCATAATCCCACTATTTCGGGATGGAAGGCAAGTCTGTCTACAGCAGAGGCGATGTGAAGAACGTGGAAGCCAGCGTGGAAAAGCACCCTGGGCCAGACTGTCAAGCCTTGTGCGCCTGGTTTTACGGCAAAGATCTGGTCTCCATTTTGTTTTCTGAGCAGGGGTCTGAAGTAGGGCAGGGCTTGGGGGAGAGTGAGCAGACATTACTGTTGCCAGGTTACAACAAGGAGAGAGGCACCCAACATCAGGACGAGTGTGAAGGAGGCAGGAGGCAGAGATGGGATGCCACTTGGCCCCTGAGGGCCAGGGAGGGATGGAGGCTCCTGGAGCAGTCTCAGGTGGAGGTGCCAGACTGGGTTTGAGATGCCAATCTGGGGTCATCGGCCCAGAGGTCACTGTGGGAGAGGGGCGGCTGAATCAGATGGCGGGGATGCGTGCACAGGCGTGGGAATGAGGAGAAACACGGAAAGAAGCATGCGAAAGAAGCATGCGTTGAACTTGACAGATGGCGGCGGGCTAGCAGCCTGCGCTGAACCAGCAGCCGGAAGAAGGAGTAGACGGGCCGTGAAGACGAGTAACGAGGCCCGCCCAGCAGGAGGACACGGCTGGATGTCCGCTTGAGAAAAGGGGGCTTGGGGGTTAAACGGTCAACAGAGCGGCTTCAGCGGACCAACGGGGAAGGATCTCATATCGCAAAAGACAAGCTCATTCCTCCAGTCACTACTAACTGGGCCCTGCCTGTGGCCACAAGCCATCCCGGGTGCCGGAGGAAACGAGACAGACAGGACAAGAAAGCGGAGCCCACGTGGCCAGGGGAGGTGATGTGAGAGGTAAACTGGATGGAGAACAATGAGGTCGCTGAAGAAATGGCGAGGAGGGCTCCGAGCCCCAGACTGCCCATGCAGGATTTAGCAGGGGCTGAGGCAGCACACCAGGACAGGCGGACATTAAGTAACCCACACCTGCACATGGCTGACACAGAGGTGTCCCCAAAGTTCCTGGAAATTGGAACAGAGAGATAATGGGATTTCCCACCAACTGTATGAAGTTGCCTCTTGATTTCATAAGGAGCTCTGATGGCACAGGGGTTACACCTGGCGCTGCAAGGTCAGCAGTTCAAAACCAGCTGCTCCGTGGGAGAAACTCTGGGCTTTCTGCTCTCATCAAGAGTTAACAGTTTGGGGAGGGAACACTAGAATTGTGACTGCACAACTCACTTTAAAGGCGATTTAACCATGGGGAGGGGGAGGGAGATGTCCTAAAATCGATGTTGTAATGATAGTACAATTCTTGATATGATTGAATGAATGACTGAACTATTGAATTGTATGAGATATAAATTATGTGCCAATGAAACTATTGGAAAAATAAATTAAGATACACTTTAAGAAGAATGACAGTCTTAGAAATCCACAGGGACGAGTCCAGCCCGTCTCACAGGGGTGCCATGAGTCGGCCCTGACTCAGCGGCAGTGAATTTGGGTTTGAGTTTATTTACTGAAAGCCTCTTGCGTGTGTGTAAAGCACTGGGGCTGCCACAGGGAACAAGACAGACAAGGACCGAGTCCAGTGACCTTTCAAATGGATGACATGTGGGTCCTTGCGCACTTGGCAAGCCTTGTCAAATGTCTCAGAAAGGGGGGGGGGGTGTCAGAGGGCTCTGTGTACACTCAGACAGACGGGCAGGGTGGGGGCAGGCATGTCCTGCTGAGGGAATGGTGCGGGAGCCAGCCTGGAAGGGAGGGAGCGTTCAGAGTAGGAGCAGACAAACCCAGAGTGGGGTTGGGGAGGAGGCAGGGTGCAGGGGAATATCCCGGGAGCCCTTGAGCACAGCAGGGTTTCCTGGTCTTTCTCCTGAGGGCAGCCGGGCATGACCGACCGGGTGTGCGATTTCACAGTGACACTGCGGCCACACGACAAGGACACGCAGGCCGATTCAGGAGGGGACAGGAGGCTTCAGGTGAGACACCGGGGGCTTGGGTGAAGGTGGAGGTGTGCACGGGCAAAGGGGAGCTGAGAAGTAAAAGGAAAGGATTAGGAGGGTGGGAAAGGCTGAGGGCAGGATGAGGATAACTGCTGGGCCCCGGGCAGCGGGGGAGAAACCGAGTCTGAAAGGCCTGTGAGCTGGCGCCGGGCCCCAGACCTGGCTCCTTCCCAAGCTTCCACCCTCTGTGGGGACTCCAGTGACCACTACAGGTGTGTGGCTGAGGCTGCCACGGAGCATTGAGTTCGAAGCTCGCCCAGCTGGACAGAACCGGTGCTCTTTTTCCTGGTGTGCACACACCTTGCCACGTCACGGAGGTCAACCAAACCTCCGGCCCAGACTCGCCCAGCTGACCGCACAAAGAGAGTGACCTGCCAGAGGGTAGTGGGAGCAGCGGACAGTGGAGCCGGTGCACACCGATGCCCGGGTCCTCACCTGCACGAGCGTATCCAGCGTGAAGATGTGCTCCCCGCGGACGTTGTAGAACTTGACCATAGCGCTCTTCAGCAGGGGCCCGTTGGGAAGCTCTCCCAGTGGGCTCTGTCGCTCCATTCCAGCCACTGCCAGCAGGTCTCCCTGTGTGCACCACTGGGCCACCACCTCTGAAATCGCAAAGGGACACGTCAGCAGAGGGTGCGTGCCCCGAAGCGACACTCACTGGGCCCGACGGTGGGAAGGGGTGGGTGTCACTAAGCAAATACGGCTGTGGCTCACCCCCTTTCTCCACTTCTCTCAAGACAACGGAGGCCGCGTTAAACAAGCAGGTGCTTACAAGGTGGAGAGAGGTCGGGCAGCCCTTGAAACAGAACTAAACCAGGTGAAAAATCAAGACATGCTAATGGCGGCATGTCAGCCACTGTCTCCAACAGAGCATTTCCTGACGGGCCTGCAGAGAACGGGCCCTGGCACGTGGAAGTGCTTCCCCGCTGGTGTCCCCTGCACCCCTAGATGGCAAGGCCTAAGGTTATATTCAGGGCTCCTGGTGGCACAGTGCATTAAGCATCTCTCTGCTAACACAAGGTCAGTGGTTTGAAACCACCAGCTGCTCTGAGGGAGGCAGGTGAGGTTTCTGTCGCTGTAAAGATTCAGTCTTGGAACCCCACAGAGGCAGTTCTACTCTGTCCTACAGGCTTGAATGAGTCAGAATTGACTCGATGGAAAACGAGAGGGGGTGAGTGAGAGAAAAGCTTTGAGTGATGTTCATTTGGTTTCTGTGCACCATGGGGCAGAGGGTGCTCGGGCCAAGACAAGACCAGTCTGGGCAGGCGGGTCTTCTGTGGATTTGCGCTTCCTCTACGTTTTTAAGAGCCAGGCACATCCCTGTTGCCTCGTAGAAAGAGAGATGCCAGCACAAAAGTGCCAAGGCAGAGAGACAAGGAATACCTGGGCTGTTCCCCTCCTCCCCCTCGTTTTAAAAGGTTTTTCTCAAAAGGAAAGTGGGTGCTTTGGCTGTGGGGTGGCACCTCGCCAGACTCACAGCCCAGTGGCTACTCTGAGAGGAACACGGAGTCTTGCCGCGCTCCCGGGGGCAGGCCGGACGAGCCTGCCGACAAACATTCACCAGGGTCCTCGGGGACTTCTCGGACACAGCCGTCAAGTGCTGCTCAGGGAGCAGCAGCTGCCAAAGCCAGCCGCTCCCGTAAAAAGGATGGGCGCCCCTGGAGAGCACCACCGCTGCTCTGACGGCGGATGTGCGCCCCTCAGCATCACGTCACGCGGACCCACAGGACGGCCACCAGCCAGGGAAACACCAACACCTGGGTGGATTCCGACCCATGGCAGCCCTGTGCATGTGAGAGCCGAACATTCCGGAAGTCCGTCACCAGGCCTTTCTTCCAAGGTGCCTGTGGGTGGAATCGAACCTCCATCCTTCTGGTCTGCAGCCAAGTGCGCTGCTCGCACCACCCAGGGCCTCCTTTGGGGCATCCACCAGCGCTGGACACACCCTGGTCCACAGGGGCTGGCTTCCTCGGGCTGAGTTTCAATGTTCCAGAAAAGAGCAGGAAATGCAAGGGAAGCAAACACAGGCAGGGCCCGCTTTCCCCGGCACATGCCACGCTTGTCACGCACGAGAGGTTTGTGGTAACTCTGTGCCAAGGAGCCTACCAGTGCAGTTGTTCCAGCAACATGCGCCCTCCTTGCGTCTCTGGGACACACTGTGGGCCTTCTCACAACATGGTGAGCCTTTTCATCATGGTATTGGACATGGAATAGACCACCAACCCCAAACTGCACTCACTCATTGCCATGCTGCCGATTCCAACTGGTAGCACGCCCGCAGGGCAGAGCAGAGCTGCCCCTGTGCGGTTCTGACCCGTGTGCAGTGGCTGCTGCTGTCGTCTTTAGGTGCCATCAAGGCAGCTCCAACCCATAGTGTCCGCGTGCACAAGAGAACGAGAGACGGCACGGTCCTGCGCCATCCTCACGGCGGTTCCTGTGCCCGAGCCCGTGGGTGCAGCCCTGCCAGTCCACCTCGACGAGGGCCTTCCTCTTTCTTTTTCTCCACCCCTCCACTTTCCCAAACATGGCGTCCTTTCCAGCGGCTGGCCTCTCCGGACAACACGTCCAAAAGGCGTAAGAGCAGGTCTTACCATCCTCAAAGTAACATCCTTGCTCTTCAATACTCTAAAGAGGTCTTGTGCAACAGATTTACTTAGTGCAATACTTCTTTTGATCTTGACTGCTGCTTCCATGAGCATCGATTGTGGACCCTAGTAAGACGAAATCCTTGACCTCAACCTTCAACCTTCTCTCCCTTGAGCATGATGTTAGCCATTGGTTCAGTTGAGGATGTTGGTCTTCCTTACATTGAGTTGTAATCCACACCGAAGGCTGCAACATGCAGTTGGTGGGTCTCAATTATTTAACAACTGGTGTGCTACCCTGATCGCCATTTTAAGTCTAAAAAAATTATGTACCGAGAGGTGGCATATTATTTCATACAGTTAACACTTAAATAAGAACATTGAAAGAGGCACTAGAAACTAGATTTTAGACCCCACCACACCGAGGCAAAAACACCAAGGGCGTGCAACAGAACAAGCGGCGCAGAGCAAGGAAGTACCAAAGGAGTACCAAAAATAGACTTAGGGGCCAGGGCGTGGCACCTCAGCAGACTTGACCAGAAAACACTTCTAAAGGTCAACAAACAGACCTTGAACTATTTACAGGCTTTCCTTTTTTTTTGTCATTGGTTTCTTGTTGTTTTGTTTTCTTTTGTTGCTTTGTTTTGCTCTGTCTTGTTTTTGTGCATGTTATTATCTCCACAGGTCTGTCTAAATAAGATAGGCTGGATAAACAATCTGGAGGAGAAAACAACAGGACCGATGGTTCTGGGGGACATGGGAGAGGGGGAAGCGGGGGGAAAGGAAGTGTTAACAAACCCAGGGACAAGTGAACAACAAGTGATCAAAAATTGGTGGCAAGGAGGGTGTAGGAGGTTTGGTAGGGCGTGACCAAGGGTAATGTAACCAAGAGGGATTACTGAAACCCAAATGAAGGCTGAGCATGATAGTGAGACAAGAGGAAAGTAAAAGGAAATAGAGGAAAGAGCTAGGAGACAAAGGGCATACATAGAGGTCTATGGAAGAAGCACACCAGCCTGTGTGATCATGAGGTGTCGAAGGGATCAGGTATCAGGCATCAAAGAACAAAAAATCAACTCATTGTGAATGAGGGGGAATGCAGACTGGGGACCCAAGACCCTTCTGTAGGCAACTGGACATCCCCTTACAGAAGGGTTGCAGGGAGGAGACGAGCCAGTCAGGGTGCAGTGTAGCAACGATGAAACATAGAACTTTCTTCTAGAACTTTCTTCTAGTTCCTTAATGCTTCCTGCCTCCACCCCCCCCCACCCCCCGCCACTCTCATGATCGCAATTCTACCTTACAAATCTGGCTAGACCAGAGGATGTACACTGGTACAGATAGGAATTGGGACCACAGGGAATCAAGGACAGATGATCCCTTCAAGACCAGTACTGAGAGTGGCGATACCGGGAGGGTGGAGTGGAAAGGGGAAACTGATTACAAGGACCTACACATAACCTCCTCCCTGGGGGATGGACAACAGAAAAGTGGGTGAAGGGAGACGTCGGACAGTGTAAGATTTGACAAAATAATAATTTATAAATTATCAAGGTCTCACGAGGGAGGGGGGAGCGAGGAGGGAGAGGAGAAAAAAAGAGGAGCTGATGCCAGGGGCACATAGAATACACGGTTGCGCGGATGAACGCTACAGAGAGGGTCAGAAATATAAATTTGTGGTTTCTACACTGGGCGGATGCCTAGCCGCCAACCTTAGAAGGAACCCTGATTACACCAGTTTGCCAAATTCAACAAAAAATCGGGTATCAGTTTTGCCGAACCATAGAATCCTTCAATACTGCAACGGGATGCTTGGATTTTTTCTTTGGTTCTTTTGGGAAATTCTTCCCCTTTGGCTTCTAGGAGTGTTCACACTTCACTATAATACCTTACTTCGTCTTGAGGTGCCCTTCGTACTCTCTAATTCTCTGACCTCATCATTTCTTCTAAAGCAGTGTTGGTTACTTATGCTCAAGAGCAAGTTTCAGAGCCTCTTTGGGCACGTACCTGGTCTTGTCTCTCTCTCTTTCTTTTAATGACCTTGTCTGCTTTCTTATTTGAGGCTCTTGAAGTCATCCCACAACTTGTATAGTCTTTTGTAATTTGTGTTCAACGGGTCAAATCAGTTCTTGAGATGGTCTCAAAATTCAGGTGGGATATACTCAAGGTGCTATTTTGGCTCTCATAGGTTTGAGTTTTCTTCAGTCTTGACTTGAGCAAAAGCCCAAGAGCACGCGATGGGCTGAACGACAGTTGGCCCCTGAACTTATTCTGACTGATAGCGCTGAGCTTCTCCATCATCGCCTTCCAGACAGTCGTTTTTCATAGCGGGAGGTCCATTTTTATAGTTCGTTTTGTTGAAAAAGGTATTTGCATTGAACATGCCGTCCATACTTCCTGCATGATTCTCTCTAGTGATCCTCAGCATCGTTTCTATCACCATGGCTCCACTTTCCAAATACTGGTCTTTATTCTTTATTTCTGACTTTCACATCAGAATCATCAGTAATCAGCAATGCATCTTGACGGCATCTGATGAACTTCAGAAGGCAGAAGCTGGCAAAGACCTTCAATGTCTTCATCTTTGCCAGTAGTGAGAACAGCTGGGTCATGGTTCTATTAACCGGTCTTTCTGTCTCGCGTTGCAGATGGATCGTGAAATGTTCTTTTTGAATGTGAATGCCACGCCATTTCTCTTCAGGCTGCCATCCCCAGGAGCGTAAATGAAGTGCCTGTCTGATTCAAAGTGGCCAACGCCCATCCATGTCAGCCTAGGAAGTCGATCTTCAAGCCTTGAGCTTCATTTGGAGACATTTCGATTTTCCTGGGTTCAGGCAGCGATGGGAAGAGGCGATTCCGTGAAACGAACACACACAGTGAGAGGGCCCCGGGGTTCCGAGCGCTTTCCTTCGTGGGGCACGTGAGTGCCGAGAAGTGCCAGTGCCCG